TGGAGACTTTTTATACCTTTTCATACAAATCTACTTAAAAATAAATCTTTGTGAACTTTTCTGAATCTTCTTCATGTTGGTCAGATGGGGATTCCATTACAGTTAATTGTTGCTATTAGTAATAGCATCTTTGAAAACCGAATTTTGTTATTGGCATCTAGGAATAAAAGTGAGTTTAACATTTTAATCTTGATTCACTATTTTCTTTTACATTTTAAATTAACATTTTATTTTATTTCCATAACAGGCATCATTTTGCATATATGAAATGCATGTATCAATTTAGTGCCCTGAGTAGTGCCCTGAGCTCTTTTTAATTTTATAAGTTGTCCAATGACTCCTTTGGCCTGGAGGTTATTTGCTGATTTCACCGGCACCTCATAATACTTGTGTCTACTTTCAATGCTTATAGTTGCTATTTCACTGTCCTGAACTGTCAAGACCATATTCAAGGATACTGGGCATCAGAAGCACCCTTGTTCTGCTCTGTGTCTTACAGGGGACGTATCTGATGTTGCCTCTGGCATGCGTGATGAGATCGGTCCTTCCCTAGCCAAAGGGGACGGTCACATTTACAGCAATCACAGCGTGCGTGCCTCTCTGGCCCTTTGTACACCTGGCTGCTTAGGGGCTCCCTGTCTGAAAGAGTTTGCTCTTTTCTAGACTCCTCAGCTTGCCTCAACCCCCTGAGCCCCCAGAGCTGGCCACTTCCCACTCCACCCTTGACCCATCTCTACAGAAAACGAGACTCGAGAGGATTCATCCCTTTTTCAGTGGGGCTCTGCACTCTTTCCTGGGACCCACCTGCTAATGGGAGAGCAGGTGCCTGTCCTCTGGCAGCAGCAGAGTAGGACTGGGGTCACCAACAGCACTGGACCGGAGGGGCTGTAGCGGCCCTTTTTGGTAGGTTGCACCGTGGAGGAGTCCTGTGGAGTCAACTGCACTTTTGCCTTGACCTGTCCCTTTTCTTACCTCCAGCCACCTCAGTGATGATATTCCCTCAGAGCTTCGGGGGCCTGCCCAGTCCCGTGGGAAAGCGGACCCACGAAGGGGCTGATGCAGAGCAGAGCGGGCAGCTCTCCGTCACAGCTTACGAGGCTCAGAGGCCGAAGCGAGCAGCTGCCCAGGGCAGCCAGGGGAGGCTTCATGGAGGAGGGCTGAGTCATTTGATCCGAGTCTGAAAGCAAGAGTAGAAGTGCTCTGAGGCCTTCGAAGCAGAGGGTCAGGGGCACAGGTGTAGAAGTTTGGCAGAGCCTGGTCTTGGGGAAAAGCCTAGGGTTTGCTGAGAGAGAGATGGGGCTCTGCTATCTGACTTGAGGAGTGCTTTTGAGGTTCACGGGTTGTAGCAAGGGTGGTCCTGGAAAACTTCTGGGAGAAGTGGGAGAGGAACTGGCCCTGAAGCTTTGAGAGAATTTAAATAAGAGTGGGTGAGGGAAGGCCATGAGGAAGAAGAGGAAATAATATGAGATACCTGCTAGCCTTGTTGATAATCCTTCACTACCTGCCATTTTCCCTACAGTACTGATGGGTAGATGCAGTGCCCCCTGTACAGATGAGGAAGCTAAGGCTCAGTGACCTTGAGTTACTTAGATGACCTTGAGTGACAGACAGTGAGCTGGTCAGATGGATTTCTTTCCTTTTTTTTGTTTAAAGATAGAATCTAGCATTTTATTCAAATTGTCTTTAAACTGCTGGGGTTGAGAACCAGACATACAAACCAAACCTCCAACACAGATCCTGAACGACCCTTTCTGCTTGGAGTAAACAGGGGTAGAATAACCACAGAAGCAAGCTGACGTCTCTGTGCTACCCAGCGACCTCAGCGTCTTCAGGCTCCCCTCGGCCAACACCAGCCGGACCGGGAGCGCCGACCTCGGGCTTTTCTGAACAACACCTTGGGCTGCCTGGACACACTGGAGACACATGGCTTTTCCTTGTGTTTCCAGAGAATCTTTGACGGGCTCTTGTCTGAGCTGATGGCGTCTCTCTATTTAATTGTCATATCACTCACTGCCGACGAATGAATCGATTCTAACTCATCATGCCCCTATAGTACAGAGTAGAACTGCCCCTGTGGGCTTCTGCATCTGTAAATATTTTTAAAATTTTTGTTTTAACAGTTTTTGACATATAATTCACATACCATACAATTCATTGATTTAAACATTAATAAGAGTTGTGCAATCAGTACCACAATCAATTTTAGTACAATTTTCTTTTTGTTCTCATTATTAGCCACTTGTTTCTCTCTAACCTCTCTTGCCATAACCCTAATAAGTTATTAATCCAGTTATTGTCTCTATAGATTTACTTATCCTGATTTTCATATGACTGAAACAAAAACAAAAACACCCAACAACAATAGCAAAATAAACCAGAAAAACCTCAATCCAAAAGAAAGCAGAAAAGTAGAACAAATTTTAAATGGGTCAGAAGGGGAGAACAAAAGATAAGGTGTTAGATTTCCACCTACCTCCATCTGCATGCGTCCCCTTTGCAGTGCACTCTGTCCCATAGCAAGGCTCTTCATAGCCTGCTCGGTGGACCACCAGAGCTTACTCCATGCCTGCAATGGATTCTGGGCTTTCATGGCTGTCCATAGTGGGGCTGTACATCTTTGTGGGAACAGAATGCCTCACCTTTCTCCTCCTGGTGGTTGGTGGCTTTCAATTGCTGGGCCTTGCAGCTTGCCGCCCAACGAGTAGCCCAGGAGGCCGCCAGGGCTCCTTTGCTGAATCGCAGAATACAGTAAGTGAGCAAGCATGTAGACTGTTCAAGTGGGAAGGGATTGTCTGCTCTGCCAGAAGCGCTGCTCTGAAGGAAGCCGCAGCTACTCTCGCTGTTCAGAAACTCACTGGAAAGTACGTGGTTAAAACGCTGGCTGGAGTTACTGGGCAGTGTGGAATCCTCATGCTTTCTTCTAAAGGCACGGAACAGTTACCTGGACCAAAGTGTGCAGCCTGCAGACCCTTCTGTACTACCCTGGGACTTCTGGGTGGCATCACAAGGGCACCAAGGGCCTGTCTGTGTAGAGCTAAGAGTTGGTGAGTTTGTGGACAGCTGGATTTCTGAGCTTCATGCTCACAGTGTCTCACTGCTGCTATACACATGCAGACACACACACTATACATACACACATACATATGCATGTATATAAATATGTATAAAGCGTTTACATATGTATGTATATTTATAAATAACAGCTTTTGACATATAACTCACAAAACCGTATAATCTATCCATCTAAAGTGTACAATTCAGTGGTTGTAGTCTATTCATGGAGTTCACGACCATCCCCACAATCCAGATTTGGAACACTTAATTATCCTGCAAACACATCCCAGCCCGCTTAGTTGCTACCTCCCTTTCCTGCCAGAGCCTCTGCCTCAGCCCCAGGGAGCCACTTACCTGCTCCCTGTTTCTTTAGAGGTGCGTTTCCGGAGCCTTCTATAAATGAAGCCGTATGAAAAGTTCATTGTAATCAGCTTCTCTCATTTCACACGTTCGTTCCAAGGCTTGTCCACCTCATCGCGTGGATCAGCACCTGGCTCCTTTTTAAGGCTGCCAATCTTCTGCTGTGTGTATAGTCTACATTTTGTTAATCCGTGTACCCCTTGATGGACGTTAGGGTGGCTTTCTGCCCATTGCTTGCCATGACTGGTGCTGCTGCCAACATTTGTGTGTAACTCTCTACGTGGAGGTGTTCTCGTGTCTCCTGGGTGTGTACCTAGGAGTGGAATTGCTGGGCCGCAAGGTGACTGAGGAGGACCTGTGTTTTCTCTGCTACTGTGTGCTCGCCTGCTACCCTGAACGGTGGCTCTTCAGACTCACCCAGCAGCACCACGGGAGAAAGAGCTGGCAATCTGCTTCCGTAGGATCTCAGCCAAGAAAAGACCAGGAGCAGTGCTACGCTGGAACACTCGGGGTCACCAGAGTCAGAAGTGACTCCAAGGCCATGGGTGGTGATGATCCTCTCCCTTGAGCCCTGTGAGGAACTGCCAGGCTTTTCTCCAGAGGCTTCCCTGCTGCCTCTTGTCTGAGGCGAGGCTTGCCTGCAGAGGGGCAGGGCTGGGAGGAAGGTCAAACCACAGAGTCTCTGGGAACTGCCTGCTTCCCAAGAAGTAGACTGGTGAAGTGCGTTGAAGGCTACAATTCTGCCGAAGGTGCAACCACTGGCCTCACCTCGTTGAGAGGAAATGAAAATCAAACAGTACCTGGAAAAAAAGTGGACTAATGGACCACACACATCAGTCTTCACAGCCCTGAGACCAGATGAACTAGAGGCTGTCCAGATATCACCACCAACTGCTCGGAGAAGGCCCACACCAGCAGACCCTGGTAGAGTCGGCGGGGCTGGGGGTGTCAGACAAAACCCCAGCTCACAAAAGAGATAGTTAGCCTATTCAGACCCAAAAGGCAGCATTACCCAAGGACAGAGCACAGAGGGTGGTACAGGAGGAAGGATGCAAACAAGAAGCCCGGGGAGAAAGTAGGATAAGCTGGCCGCATCAGGGAGACTGCTGCGGAGGAGCTGAAACAAAATGTGTCCGCATCACTGAATGTAAAACTAATGGTCTAAAAAACAAACAAAAAAAAACCTGATGGTGTGCCCTGCCACCTTCACATAACTCACAATTAAAAGCTTAAAAAAAAAAAAAAACAAGACTGCAACTTTACTGTTGTCTTCAATGATGTCACAGGGCTTTGTGGATTTGCAAGAGCGCAAGGATGCATCTACGAACACCACCAAGCTCTGCAGTCCCACCAGTCCCCGTGGTCCTCCAGAACATACTGTGGAAAGCCTAAGGCCCAGAGTGCACGGGAAGGGCAGGTGTGAGCTCATGCCCTGGGAAGGGCTCCGGGAGGAGGGGTCAAGGCCTTACGCTCAGGATAGGAGAGAGGAAGATTAGGAGGCTGGGAGGAAAGACGAGATTGGTGGTTTGGGGCATGCTCTTGGGCCTCTGTGTTAATTCTGGCCTGTCCTTGTCCTCTGCCTGCAGACTTGGCTGAGTGCAAGCTGGTCTCCTTCCCCACCGGCATCTACAAGGTCTTGCGCAACGTCTCCGATCAGATCCACCTCGTCACACTGGCCAACAATGAGCTCAAGTCCCTCACCAGCAAGTTTATGACCACGTTCTGTCAGCTCCGAGGTAAGCCCTGGGCAGCGTGACCACCCCCGGCCCTTCAGGCTCGGACCCTGCCTGGGGAGTATCAGCATTTACTCTGCCAGACCCATGGGATCGTGCCCTGCAGACCTGAAGGTTGAGCGGTGAAGGATCCTTGTGAGCACTACTCCTGCCTCTGGCTGGATGCTGAGTCAAACGGACTCAGGGGCAGGCTGTAGACCCTGGAGTGACTCCCATTGTGAACAGACCAGTAATTGTTTGAGGTTCTGAGGCCCGGGGGTGACTATTTCTAAGTAGACCCGATGAAGGTCCTATCCCCCAACCTAGCACTTGTCTCCTCAACTCAGCAGTGCTGGATGCCAGGGGTGAGCAGGGAGGTGGGCAGCAGGCCAGTAGGTGGGCAATGCCGATTCTCTGTGATGGCTCCTCTGGGTTAATGAGCCGAATGGCCTGACCCCTGCAGTGCCCTGACCTCTCTCCCCTCTCCAGGGAGCAGTACCATCCTGCTGGAAGGTCCCTGCTGCTCGGTGACCACAGGGCGCTGCGCAGCCTGGATCCTGTGTGTGCTTCTGAGGCCAGACCATTCCTTCCTCCATGCCCCTCTGTTACAGCGCTACTGTCCAGGCAGGGGAAATTGAGTAGGCAGCGGGAGACCTCGCCCCAAGCCAGGTGCACTACTGGGAGGGGATTTCAAATCACAGCCCTGTAGTAGAGCAAGACTGCTCCCGGGGCTTTGTTTATGGGAGCAGACTGCTCGTCTCCCTCTTGTGGATCAGCAGGTGAGTTCTAACTGCAGGTCTCTCTGCTAGCAGCCCAGTGCCCAACCCACGGCCCTTCCAGAGCTCCTCACGGGACGCCCAGGAGAGGCAATTCCTGTCTTCTGGCCTTGCCTGTCAGGGGCGTGAAAAGGGGCCAAGATCTGTCTAGAGAAAAGGCACAAGCATGCTGACAGAGCCTGAGCGCTGGGAGCCCGGCTGGATTTAGGCTGGGCAGGCTTCCAGGGAGGTGTGGACAGTGGGCCGAGCTCAGATGGAGAGGGGGCATGACTTAGGAAGCCTGGTCCAGGGTGGCAGCTGCCTGGACAGTAGCGCTGTAACAGAGGGGCATGGAGGAAGGCATGGTCTGGCCACGGGTCTGAGAGAAGCTCTCAGAGCTCAAGGTGGAACATTAACGTGGCTCTGACTGGCGTGGCCGTGGCCCTCGTGTGTGGCTTTTTTCTCCAGAGACCCCCGTGGGTGCTTTCAACCTGGCCCACATCCCCTCCTTCTTCCTGGTGCCTCCTGCTTCACATGTGGAGGAGGCAGGGCCTCCAGCCGTCGGTGCCCTGGGCCAGTCGTTCTCCTCGCTGGCCATCACTGGGATCACCCGAGGAGCTTTCCTGTAGCTCCATTGCCTTGGCCGTTCCCCCAAACCAGTGCAGTCACGATGTCCGGGCCTCGGCCTGGGCGTAGGTACGGGCTGAAATCTGTATCGTTAGTTCGGAAGCACTGGCAGCCAAGTGGAGAACCAGGGGTTCTAAGTGAAAAGCCTGGGGGACACAAAGTCTGGCAGCAATGAGGGATGCAGACTGGGTGTGGGGTGATGGGAGCGAGAGGGGCTGCGGGGCCAGAGAATAGCTGCCTGTCCACAGGGAGCAGTGCTGCTCAGCTTCGTCGGTGTGAGAAGGCAGGCCAGTGTAGGCAGCTCTCGGGCTGTTCTCTTTAATAGACTCCCACATCTGGGTTTACACTTTCCCGATTTTCACACGGGGAAAGATGGGGCTGTCTACTCCCGTAAAGAGTGACAGGCTCGGAAGCCCACAGGGCAGCTCTGCCCTGTCCTATCTGACCCCTGACTACGGGTCAGAATCGACTGGATGGCAGTGTGTGAGCAACTTTTTCCACAAGTCAAACTAATAAAACATACTAGCAAGCTGGATTCAGCCCACGGCCACCAGTTGGGAGAATGTCCCATAGAATATATTAGCACGTTCTTTGCCGTCTTATTCCAAGTTGCCCTTGTAGGCCACTTGCCAAGGCCCCAGGGGCCCCGAAGGTTGTATCTAACAAATGAACGTGGCAGCATTGACTTCTCAGCAGAGGAGAACAACACTTACAGCAGCTTACTCACTCACTGCTCTCAGGTCAGCGCTGGCTCAGAGTGATCCTGAAAGACCGAGTGGAACTGCCCCTGTGGGTTTCATGCCCCTGTAATCTATACCGAAGCAGACAGCCTCATCTTTCTCCCAAAGAGCATCTGGTGTGTTCAAACTGCTGACCTTGTGGTAAGCAGTCCAAGGCATACACGCTACACCATGAGGGCTCCTTCCAGAGGATAGGGTTTGTTTTAGTCCGGGTAGAGAAACAAATTCATCGACACTCATAATGTGTATAAGAAAGAGCTTTATATAAAGAGCAGTTGTATATTATGGAAACATCCCAGCCCAGTCCAGATTGAGTCCATAAGTCTGATATTAGCCCATATGTTCAATACCAATCTATAAATTCCTTTTCAGACTCACACAACACATGCAATGATGCTGAATTCAGGAAGATCATAGGCCAGTGGGTGGAAATTCTTGTGGATCTAGTGGCAGTGGAAGCCTCTCAGCGCTGGTAGGGGTCTCCACGTGGCTCCTCCAGCTCCAGGACTCTAGCATAGCTCCACGTGTCTTGTCACAGGAAGACGAAGCAGAGTGTGGGTGTCTGCCACCAGCGAGCTATTTATCTCCCTAGGGCCTCCAAAGGAGGTCATCAAGCAGCCACTTGATTGACAGGCTAAATTCTACCCCTTCACTCTTAACCGTCTCAAGTTGGCAACAGATTATGTAATTACCAAAGGGCTCTTGTCCTCCCCTACCCTGGGGTACACAATCACCTAGGCATGGGCTTGCTTTGGGTGAGAGGAGAGCTTGCCCATTGCTTTTCTTTTACTTGCCCTTGGGTACTGCCATGCTCCAGGCCCGTGTCTGGAAGCCGGGATGGAGGTGGCATATAGACCGGGACTCTGTAGAAAGCCAGTGCTGGGGGATACACTCAGCAGTGTGGCGCGCTCCCTCCCGACGCGGACTAAACTCGGAACTGCTGGGAAAAGGGGTGTTCTTCTGGGAGCAGAGCAGCAGGGCTGGGCCTGTGGTGGCCTGGACAGCCATGTGGGCAGGCCCTGGAGGGGAGTGCTGCCCCCCATGGCCTTCCTCGGCACACTGTGCTCAGTGTATTGGCCACAGGAGCTATTTTCTGTTCTCAATGCCTTTCTGGCCAGATGTCCGTTCAAGGGTACTGTTTGAACTCCTCCCCCACCTCCACTGTGCATGCCTGCAGCTCCTGACCCCTCAGTGGCTGGGAGGACCAGAGGCTGCTGTAGGAAGCCAGCTGTGTGGATTTCCTGGAGGCAGTTGGTTGAGGGAGAGAATGAAAGGAGAGGGAGCGGCTCCCGTGGAGATGGCTTTGGGCTAGGACATTTGTTACAGCTTTCAAAAAAAATCATTTTACTGGGGGCTCTTACAGCTCTTATAACATTCCATACATTGACTGTATCAAGCATATCTGTACATATGTTGCTGTCATCATTTCCAAAACATTTTCTACTTGAGCCCTTGCTATAAGCTCCTCTTTTCCCCCCTCTCTCTCCCTACCTTCCCACCCTCGTGGGACTCCTTAATTAATTACATATTGCTATTATTATCTTACACTGTCTGTTGTCTCCCTTCACCCACATGTCGTTATTTGTTAGTACTTTTTAAAATCGAAACAATGGCTAGGCTTTGCAGTCTGCCCTGTCTTCCTCTGGGTTCTTGTGAAGGTGGGGCTGCTCCCCTGCTTTGGAGAGAGCACTTAGCTTCTTCTCGATTGTCCCCCAGGGGTACCCTGGGATGTCTTCTACTAGGCTCTGCCTCCCTTGTCATAGTTTTTGTTTTGTTTTCAATTTTAGGTGCTTTATTTTAAGCAGATGTTGGATTGCTAACCCCAAGGTCAGTCATCAAACCTACCTGCTACTCCGAGGGCAGAGATGAGGCCGTCTGCTCCCTTAAAGACTGAGCCTCGGCAACCCTGCAAGAGGTTGCTGTGAGTCCAAACCATTGCGGATTGGCTGGTTGCTCAGTTGTTTGAAGCTACCTTTCTCTCCAAGTCTTTCCTGGTGAGTCAGGTGAAGGTCTGCCGAGCAGAGCATCACTTGCACGGGCAACAGTTCAGACCCCTCTTGTTTCAGTCCATCTATTACAGTCCCCTCAAGGTGGCTCAAAGTGTCCCACTTCCTCCCGGGGGTTCCTGTTTCCATGGCTCCATCTTGCCTAACCTTCTGAACTTTGTTGTTTGGTTGGGAAATACCACTCTTTTGAGCTTAGGCGGTTGATTATTCTCAGGCAACAAACTGTGAGTTCAGTTCCAGACTTGAAAAGTAAGGGCCAGAATCCTGGGGTTCCAACAGTCTTGAGCCAAGCAATAGACCTGGTCTCTTTCATTATTTTTATTGCTGTTCCACATTTTCCTCCCACTCTATCCCAGGACCTTGTGCTGTTTGTTTGTTTTTCCTGGGGTTTCCAGCTGTATTGGCTGTAGTGTGGTGGATGTATACATGGCCAGCGCCTTCTGGGGCGGTCCAGAACCTTTTAATACTCTCCTTTCCAGACAGTTGGTCTAGGTAGCTGGGCACCATCTAGTTCTGCTGATCTCAGGGGTGAAGACTGATGCTTATGTGGTTCATGACTTTTGATTTTCAGTACTCCCTTTTCCTCTGACTGGAGAGACCAATAGTTGGGATCCCTCCCTGTTGCTACTCACCAAAGTCGGCTGTAGGACCAGCCGTGCTTTTGTGAATTGTGCTCTGCCAATTGACCATGGTGTCCCCTGAGAATATGATTTTGATTCCCCATTGATACTGATTTGTTCCCTCAAGGTGTTTGGTTATGTCTAAACAGTTTTTTTTTAACTTTGTCCCCTGTATGCCATACCATATTCGGGGATATATTTGCAATAAAAATAAATACACACATACAAAAATCCTCTGCCAAGCTTATATTTGTGAGTATCTTCCCACTCTTCCTC